AGAACAGGATCCATGGACCCTCATGGGTGGAGATCAGGATCCATGGATCTTTGGGATGACGGGGCAATCCGGCTCCATGGATCCATGGCTGGATCCTCAGGGATCCTGGTGGGAAGAGCGTGTCGGTATCCATGGACCTCCCCCGCTTAATTCCGGGTGGACCTCCCACGGAACCATCCGGAATCACGGCTTCTCCTCCCCGTTCCCACCTCCATCCAGTCCAGAACTTCGGGATCTGCCGTGACGCCGTCGCGCTGGGCCGGATCCTGGGGGAAGGATTCTTCGGAGAGGTCTACCAGGGGATCTACACCACGCCCGTGAGACCACCCCCCCACCGTGTCCCCCTCGCCCCAAATCCCGGCATTCCCCACCTTGGGAATGTCCCATTCCCGCTTTTCCGTCTCGGAGCAGAACGGGGAGCGGGTGGACGTGGCGGTGAAGACCTGCAAGAAGGACTGCAGCCCCGAGAACCGGGAGAAGTTCCTCAGCGAAGCCGGTAGCCCGCGGCTCCTCCGGGGGGTTTTGGGATCCTGAGGGTCCTTCTGGGGGTTTTTTGGGATTCTGAAGGTTCTTCTGGGGTTTTTTGGGTTCTTGAAGGTCCTTTTGGGGTTTTTTGGGGGGATTTTTGAAGGCCCTGCTGAAGTTTTTTGGGATCCTGAGGCTCCTTCTTGGGGTTTTTTTGGGATTCTGAAGGTTCTTCTGGGGTTTTTAGGGGATTCTGAGAGTTCTTCTGGGGTTTTTTGGGTTCTTGAAGGTCCTTTTGGGGTTTTTGGGGGGATTTTTGAGGGTCCTGCTGAGGATTTTTGGGATCTTGAAGGTCCTTTTGGGTTTTTTGGGATTCTGAGAGTCCTGGGGTTTTTTGGGTTCTTGAAGGTCTTTTTGGGGTTTTTTGGGGGGATTTTTGAAGGCCCTGCTGAAGTTTTTTGGGATCCTGAGGGTCCTTCTGGGGTTTTTTTGGGATTCTGAAGGTTCTTCTGGGGTTTTTTGGGTTCTTGAAGGTCCTTTTGGGGTTTTTTGGGGGATTTTTGAAGGCCCTGCTGAAGTTTTTTGGGATCCTGAGGCTCCTTCTTGGGGTTTTTTTGGGGTTCTGAAGGTCATTCTGGAGTTTCTTGGGATCTTGAAGGTCGTGGTGGGGTTTTTTGGGATTCTGAAGGTCCTTCTGGGGTTTTTGGGTTCCTAAAGGTCCTGCCATGGGGGTTTTTTTGGGATTCTGAGGGTCCTTTTGGGATTTTTTGTGATCCTGAGGGTCTTTTGGGCTTTTCTTGGGATCTTGTAGGTTCTTCTGGGTTTTTTGGGATCTTGAAGGTCCTTTGGGGGGTTTTTTTGGGGATTCTGAGGGTCCTGCTGAAGTTTTTTGGGATCTTGAAGATCCTTCTGGGGTTTTTTGGGATCATGAGTGTCCTTTTGCGTGTTTTTGTGGGATCCTGAGGTTCCTGATGAAGATTTTTTGGGATCCTGAGGGTCTTTTGGGTTTTTTTTTGAGGATCTTGAAAGTCATTCTGGGTTTTTTTGGGATCCTGAGGTTCCTGCCGTGGTTTTTTGGGGATCCCAAAGTTTCTTCTGTTTTGTTTTTTTTTTTTTGGATTCCAAAGGTTCTTTTGGGTTTTTTTGTGTTTTTGAAGGTCCTGCCATGGGTTTTTTTTTTGGGATCTGAAAGGTCTTTCTGGAGTTTTTTGGGATCCTGAGGGTCATTGTGGGTTTTTTATGGGATCTTTCAGGTCCTTTGGGGTTTTTTTTTTGGGATTCTGAAGGTCCTGGTGAAGGTTTTTGGGATCCTGAGGATCCTGCCATGGTTTTTTTTGGGATCCAAAAGATCCTGCTGGAGTTTTTTTGGGATTCTGAGGGTCCTGGCATGGTTTTTCTGAGGATCATAAAGGTAATTCTGGGTTTTTGGGGGATTCTGAGCATCCTTTTGGGGCTTTTTGGGATCTTGAAGGTCCTGCCATGGGGTTTTTTTGGATCTTGAAGGTCCTTCTGGGGGTTTTTTTGGGATTTTGAAGGTCCTTCTGGGTTTTTTTTGGGATTTTGAAGGTCCTCCTGGGTTATTTTAGGATCCTGGGGGTCATTCTGAGAATTTTTGTTATCTTGAAGGTCCTTTTGAGGTTTTTTGTGATTCCGAAGGTCCTTTTGGGGTTTTCTTTTGGGATCTTGAAGGTCCTGCCATGGTTTCTTGGGGATTCCAAAGGACCTTCTGGGTTTTTTTTTGGGATCCTGAGGGTTCTGATGAGGTTTTTGTGGTCTTGAAGATCTTCTTGGGTTTTTTGGGAGGATCCTGAGGGTCCTGCCAGGATTTTTTGGGGATCCTGAGAGTCTTTCTGGTTTTTTTGGGGGGGGATCCTTAAGGTCCTTCTGTGATTTTTAGGGATCCTGAGGGTCCTTTTGGGTTTTATTGGATCTTGAGGGTCTTCCTTAGGTTTTTTGGGATCTCTAGGGTCCTTTTGGGGTTCTTTGGGATCTTGAAGGTCTTTTTGGGGTCTTTTTTTGGGATTCTGAGGGTCCTTCTGGGGATTTTTGGGATCTTGAAGGTCCTGCCATGGTCTTTTTTGGGATCTTGAAGGTCCTTCTGGGGTTTTTTTTGGGATTCTGAAGGTCATTCTGGAGTTTGTTGGGATCCTGAAGGTCCTGGTGTGTTTTTTTGGGATCTTGAGGGTCCTTTTGGGATTTTTGGGATTCTGAGAGTTCTGATGGGGTTTTTTTTGGATCCTGCTGAGGTTTTTTGGGATCCCAAAGGTCCTGTTGGTTTTTTTGGGGGGGATCTCAAAGCTCCTGCTGGGGTTTTCTTTGGGATCCCAAAGGTCCTTTGGGGCTTTTATTTGGAGATCTTGAAGGTCCTGCTGGGTTTTTTGGGATTCTGAGGTTCCTGATGAGGATTTTTGAGATCTTGAAGATTCTTTTGGGTTTTTTTGGGATCTCGAAGGTCCTTTTGGGGTCTTTTTTTGGGATTTCAAAGGTCCTTCTGGGTCTTTTTGTGATCTTGAAGGTCCTGCCATGGTTTTTTTGGGACCCCAAAGGTCCTTCTAGGGTTTTTTGGGATCCTGAGGGTTCTGATGGGTTTTTTGGGATCATGAGGGTCCTCCCGAGGTTTTTTTTGGGATGAGATCCTGCTCAGGTCTCCCACGGGGTGGGGAATGCCACGACCTTCCCCTGTCATCTCCCGGTGGCTTTTTGGGAACGAGGCGCCTTTGGAATTCAGGATGGAGGAAGAGGGAGTCGATCCATGCCCGGAAACCTGGGATGGGATCCCAAAAATCCCTGGGATTATGGGCAGGGATTCCTGGAGGAGGGTGGGGAATCCGCTGGGATCCGTGACCGAGGATCCCGATCCCAAAAAAACCAAAACCCAACCGGGAGCTCCGATCCCTTTGGGAAATTCCTCCTCCACCACGGCGGCGCCGGGGGATTTCCCGGGATGGAGCCGAGGCGGGAATTTGGGAATCCCGCCGTTCCCGCAGTGCTGATGAAGAAGCTGGACCACCCCCACATCGTCAAGCTGGTCGGCATCGCCGAGGACGAGCCCACCTGGATCATCATGGAGCTCTGCCCCTACGGAGAGGTGCGGCCGTCCCCTTCCCGAGGATGTCCCCCATCGCGTTCCCGGAATTCCCGGGCGCTGATCCGGCCGGGAATTCGGCGTTGCAGCTGGGCCAGTACCTGGAGCAGAACCGGCGCGTCCTGGCCGTGCCCAGCCTGGTGCTCTACGCGCTGCAGCTCGGCAAGGCCCTGGCCTACCTGGAGGCCGCCAACTGCGTCCACAGGTCCGGCCGCGGGATTCGGGATGGGCCCTGGGATTCGGGATGGGACCCTTGGGATTCGGGATGGGACCCTTGGGATTTGGGATGGGATCTGGGATTCGGGATGGGCCCCCTGGGATTTGGGATGGGGCCCTGGGATTTGGGATGGGATCTGGGATTCGGGATGGGCCCCCTGGGATTCGGGATGGGGTCCGGGATTCGGGATGGGACCCTGGGATTCGGGATGGGCCCTGGGATTTGGGATGGGCCCCTGGGATTTGGGATGGGCCCCTGGGGTTCGGGATGGGACTCTGGGATTCGGGATGGGACCCTTGGGATTTGGGATGGGACCCTTGGGATTTGGGATGGGCCCTTGGGATTCGGGATGGGGTCCGGGATTCGGGATGGGCCCTTGGGATTTGGGATGGGGTCCGGGATTCGGGATGGACCCCTGGGATTTGGGATGGGACCCTGGGATTTGGGATGGGCTCCTTGGGGTTTGGGATGGGCCCCTTGGGATTTGGGATGGGCCCTTGGGATTTGGGATGGGCCCCTGGGATTTGGGATGGGATCTGGGATTCGGGATGGGCCCTTGGGATTTGGGATGGGCCCCTGGGATTTGGGATGGTCCCCTTGGGATTCGGGATGGGCCCTGGGATTTGGGATGGGACCCTTGGGATTCGGGATGGGGTCCGGGATTCGGGATGGGGTCCGGGATTCGGGATGGGGTCCGGGATTCGGGATGGGACCTGGGATTTGGGATGGAATCCTCGGGATTTGGGATGAGTCCCCTGGGATTCGGGATGGGTCCCTCGGGGTTTGGGATGGGACCCTTGAGATTCGGGATGGGCCCCTCGGGGTTCGGGATGGGATCTGGGATTTGGGATGGGACCCTGGGATTTGGGATGGGATCTGGGATTTGGGATGGGACCCTTGGGATTTGGGATGGGATCTGGGATTCGGGATGGGCTCCTTGGGATTTGGGATGGGACCCTGGGATTTGGGATGGGACCCTGGGATTCGGGATGGGGCTCTGGGATTCGGGATGGGATCTGGGATTCGGGATGAGTCCCCTGGGATTTGGGATGGGATCTGGGATTCGGGATGGGCCCTGGGATTTGGGATGGGATCTGGGATTTGGGATGGGCCCTTGGGATTCGGGATGGGCCCTTGGGATTTGGGATGGGACCCTTGGGATTTGGGATGGGGTCCGGGATTCGGGATGGACCCCTGGGATTTGGGATGGGACCCTGGGATTCGGGATGGGCCCCTGGTAGCGGCGTTGGGTGGGTGAGGGTTCTTCTTCACCATCCCATTATCCCATCCCATCCCATCCCATCCCATCCCATTATCCCATTATCTCATTATCCCATATCCCAAATCTCAAATCACATTATCCCATCATCCCATCCCCCATAATCCCAAATCCCAACTCCCAACTCCAATTACCCAAATCCCAAATCCCAATTCCCAAATCCCAAATCCCAAATCCCAACTCCCATTACCCCAAATCCCAAATCCTAAATCCCAAATCCCAACTCCCAGTACCCCAAATCCCAAATCCCAAATCCAAACTCCCATATCCCAAATCCCAAATCCCGACTCCCGTTACCCCAAATACCAACTCCCAAATCCCAAATCCCAACTCCGATATCCCAAATCCCAACTCCCGTCACCCAAATCCCAAATCCCAATTCCCATTATTCCAAATCCCAAATCCTATATCCCAAATCCCAACTCCCAAATCCCATACCCCAAATTCCAAATCCCAACTCCCATTACCCCAAATCCCAAATCCCAAATCCCAACTCCGATATCCCAACTCCCAACTCCCAAACCCCAAATTCCAAATCCCAAATCCCAAATCCCAAATCCCAAATCCCAACTCCCATTATCCCAAATTCCAAATCCCAACTCCCATTACCCCAAATCCCAACTCCCATTACCCCAAATCCCATTATCCCAAATCCCAACTCCCATTATCCCAAATCCCAACTCCCATTATCCCAAATCCCAAATCCCAACTCCCATTACCCCAAATCCCAAATCCCAAATCCCAACTCTGATATCCCAACTCCCATCTCCCAAATCCCAAATCCCATCTCCCAAATCCCAACTCCCATTACCCCAAATCCCATTACCCCAAATCCCAACTCCCATTACCCCAAATCCCATTACCCCAAATCCCAACTCCCATTACCCCAACTCCCATTATCCCAACTCCCAACTCCCATTACCCCAACTCCCATTACCCCAACTCCCAACTCCCAACTCCCGTTATCCCATATCCCAATTCCCGCCTCCGGCAGGGACATCGCTGCCCGGAACGTCCTGGTGGCCTCCCCGGCGTGCGTCAAGCTGGGCGACTTCGGCCTCTCCCGCTACATCGAGGACGAGGAGTACTACAAAGGTACGATCCCGCGGATCCCCGGGAGATCGGGATCGGCCCGGATCCCGGATCCTTCCCGATCCCGATGGCTCCCGGCTCCTCGCAGCCTCCGTCAGCCGCCTTCCCATCAAGTGGATGGCGCCGGAATCCATCAACTTCCGGCGCTTCACCGCCGCCAGCGACGTCTGGATGTTCGGTGCGTGCCGGGATGGGGTCCGGGATTCGGGATGGGGTCCGGGATTCGGGATGGGATCCTGGGATTCAAAATGGGATCCTGGAATGCGGAATGGGATACCGGGATTTGGAATGGGGTCCTGGGATTCGGAATGGGATCCTGGGATTCAAAATGGGATCCTGGGATTCAAAATGGGATCCTGGAATGCGGAATGGGATACCGGGATTTGGAATGGGGTCCTGAGATTCGTGATGGGAGCCGGGATTCGGGATGGGGTCCGGGATTCAGGATGGGGTCCGGGATTCGGATGGGATCTGGGATTCGGAATGGGGTCCTGGGATTCGGAATGGGATCTGGGATTCGGGACGGGATCCCTGGGGTTTGGGACAGGGTCCGGGGATTTGGGATGGGGTCCTGGGATTCGGAATGGGGTCCGGGATTCGGGATGGGATCCCGGGATTCGGGATGGGGTCTGGGATTCGGGATGGGGTTCGGGATTCGGGATGGGGTCTGGGATTCAGGATGGGGTCTGGGATTCAGGATGGGGTCTGGGATTCGGGATGGGGTTCAGGATTCGGGATGGGATCCGGGATTCGGGATGGGGTCTGGGATACGGGACGGGATCCTGGGATTAAAAATGGGATTCTGGAATTAGGGTTGGGATCCTGGGATTCGGGATGGGGCCCGGGATTCGGATGGGATCCTGGGGTTTGGGATGGGTCCAGGATTCGGTATGGGGTCTGGGATTTGGAATTGGATCCTGGGATTTGGAATGGGATCCCAGGATTCAGAATGGGATCCCGGGATTCGGGATGGGGTCTGGGATTCGGGATAGGATCCCTGGATTCGGGATGGGGTCCCGGGGTTTGGGATGGGATCCCGGGATTCGGAATGGGATCCCAGGATTCAGAATGGGATCCCAGAATTCATTGTCATGGGATGGGATCCTGGGATTGAGCCACTTCCTGTGGTGTGGGACGGGATCCTGGGATTGGGAATGGGATCTGGAATTCATCATCATGGGACGGGATTCCGGGATTGATCCGCTTCCCATGGCATGGATTGGAATTCTGGGGTCAATCCGCTTCCCATGGTGTGGGTTGGGATCCTGGAATTCATAATCCTGGGGTGGGATCCTGGGACTGATCTGCTTCCCGTGCTGTGGGACGGGATCCTGGAATTTGGAATGGGATCTGGAATTCATCATCATGGGATGGGATTCCGGGATTGATCCGCTTCCCATGGCATGGATTGGAATTCTGGGATCAATCAGTTTCCCGTGGTGTGGGATCCTGGGATTCTGGGATCGATCCTCTTCCCGTGGTGTGGAGCAGGATCCTGGGATTTTCCCCCTTCCCAAGGGATGGAGCAGAATTCCAGGGCTGATCCTTTTCCCTCGGCACGACGGACAAATCCCGCTCTGCAGCTTCCCCACTCCAGCTCATCCCAAGTTTTTTCCATCCCTTGGAAGGGCCTCCATCCACCCACCGCTGCTTCCTCCTCATCCAAGGATTTTAGGGAAAATTCGGGATGAGCTCAACTCTCCCCATTCCAAAAAAAAAAACCACCCTCATCTCCAGCCCTTCCGGAATCAGGAATTCCGCGTGTCCAACCCCAAAAAAAAACCCCCAAACAAGCAACAAAAAAACCCTTTAAAAACGCCTTGGGAAGCGCGGGATTCCCGGGAATTCCGTCGCCTGGAGCTTTTCCCGGTTTCCCCCGCAGCCGTGTGCGTCTGGGAGATCCTGAGCCACGGGAAGCAGCCGTTCTTCTGGCTGGAAAACAAGGACGTGATCGGAGTTGTGGAGAAGGGCGAGCGGCTGCCCAAGCCCGAGCGCTGCCCGCCGCTGCTCTACGCGCTGCTGGCGCGCTGCTGGAGCTACGACCCCGCCGAGAGGCCCAGATTCCAGGAGCTGGTCTGCAGCCTCAGGTGGGCCGGGAATTCCGCGGGATCCCCGCGGGGATGGGGGGGAAGGAGCTGGGAAAAGGTTGGGATCGGGAGTTTTCATGGGAAAGATTTGTGTCAGGAGTTTTCATGGAAAAGTTTGGGTTTAGAGACTTTCCTGAAGAGCGAAACGCTCCAGTTCCAAAGGGGCTCCAAGCCCAAATTCCAAACTCTGCAGCCTCAGGTGGGCTGGGAATTCTGCGGGATCCCCACGGGGATGGGGTGGAAGGAGCTGGGAAAATGTTGGGATTGAAAGTTTTTAGGGAAAAGTTTGGGTTTAGAGACTTTCCTGAAGAGCGAAACGCTCCAATTCCAAAGGGCTCCAAGCCCAAATTCCAAACTCTGCAGCCTCAGGTGGGCCGGGAATTCCACGGGATCCCCGCGGGGATGGCGGGAAGGAGCTGGGAAAAGGTTGGGATCGGGAGTTTTCATGGGAAAGATTTGTGTCAGGAGTTTTCATGGAAAAGATTTGTGTCAGGAGTTTTCATGGAAAAGATTTGTGTCAGGAGTTTTCATGGGAAAGATTTGGGTTTGGAGCCTTTCCTGAAGAGCGAAATGCTCCAATTCCAAAGGGTCTCCAAGCCCAAATTCCAAACTCTGCAGCCTCAGGTGGGCCGGGAATTCCGCGGGATCCCCGCGGGGATGGGGGGGGAAATCTGGGATCAGGAGTTCTTATGGAAAAGTTTGGGTTTAGAGACTTTCCTGGACAGCGAAACGCTCCAATTCCAAAGGGCTCCAAGCCCAAATTCCAAACTCGGCAGCCTCAGGTGGGCCGGGAATTCCGCGGGGTCCCCGCGGGGATGGGGGGGGAAATCTGGGATCAGGAATTCTTATGGAAAAGTTTGGGTTCTGAGACTTTCCTGAAGAGCGAAACGCTCCAATTCCAAAGGGGCTCCAAGCCCAAATTCCAAACTCTGCAGCCTCAGGTGTGCCGGGAATTCCGCGGGATCCCCGCGGGGATGGGGGGGAAGGAGCTGGGAAAAGTTTGGGATCGGGAGTTTTCATGGGAAAGATTTGTGTCAGGAGTTTTTAGGGAAAAGTTTGGGTTCTGAGACTTTCCTGGACAGCAAAACGCTCCAATTCCAAAGGGGCTCCAAGCCCAGATTCCAATTCTGCAGCCTCAGGTGCGCCGGGAATTCCGCGGGATCCCCACGGGGATGTGGGGGGAAATCTGGGATCAGGAGTTCTTATGGAAAATTTGGGTTCTGAGCCTTTTCTGAACAGCAAAACGCTCCAATTCCAAAGGGCTCCAAGCCCAAATTCCAAACTCTGCAGCCTCAGGTGTGCCGGGAATTCCACGAGATCCCCGCGGGGATGGGGGGAAGGAGCTGGGAAAAGGTTGGGACCGGGAGTTTTCATGGGAAAGATTTGTGTCAGGAGTTTTCATGGAAAAGTTTGGGTTCTGAGACTTTCCTGGACAGCAAAACGCTCCAATTCCAAAGGGGCTCCAAGCCCAAATTCCAAACTCTGCAGCCTCAGGTGGGCCGGGAATTCCGCGGGATCCCCACGGGGATGGGGGGGAAGGAGCTGGGAGAAGTTTGGGACCGGGAATTCTTATGGAAAAGTTTAGGATCGGGAATTTTTTATGGAAAAGTTTGGGTTTAGAGACTTTCCTGAACAGCGAAACGCTCCGATTCCAAAGGGTCTCCAAGGCTGGGAATTCTGGAGTGGGATGGAGAGTTGGGAATGTGGTGGAAAAAATCTGGGAAAAACTTGGGATCGGGAGTTTTTATGGAAAATTTTGGGCTTGGAGGAGCATCGGAGACCCTTTGGAAGGGGATGGGCTGGAAGGGAAAGGGAATTCCCGGGAATTCTGCTGGGATCAGCCGCGGGAATCCCGCTCTCGTGCCGCTGCCGTCCCTCCCTGCTCCGCCGCGTTTCCCGCCGGGAATTCCCGGCAATTCCCGGGATCGTCACCTCCGTGTCCCTTTTTTTCCTCCTGGCAGCGACATTTACCTGATGGAGAAGGAGCTGGCCGAGGAGCAGGAGCGGAGCAGCCGGCACCGCGCTCCCAAAATCCTGGAGCCGACGGAATTCCAGGAGCCGCCGCCCAAGGTTGGCACGGGCGGGAGGCGGGTCCGGGATTCCCGAATTCTGGATCCGCGGGAATTCTCGAAACCTGGATCTGCGGGAATTCCCGAATTCTGGGTCCGCCGAATTCTGGATCCGCGGGAATTCCTGAATTCCGGATCCGCGGGAATTCCTGAATTCTGGATCCGCGGGAATTCCCGAATTCTGGATCAGCGGGAATTCCCGAATTCTGGATCAGCGGGAATTCCTGAATTCTGCATCCGCGGGAATTCCCGAATTCTGGATCTGTGGGAATTCCCGAATTCTGGATCCGCTGGAATTTCCAAATTCTGGATCCGTGGGAATTCCCGAATTCTGGGTCTGCTGGAATTCCCAAATTCTGGATCTGCCGAATTCTGGATCAGCGGGAATTCCTGAATTCCGGATCCGCGGGAATTCCCAAATTCTGGATCCGCGGGAATTCCCGAATTCTGGATCTGCCAAATTCCGGATCCGCAGGAATTCCCGAATTCTGGGTCCGTGGGAATTCCCAAATTCTTGATCTGCGGGAATTCCTGAATTCCGGATCCGCGGGAAATCTCGAATTCACGATCCACGGGAATTCCCGAAATCTGGATCCGCGGGAAATCCCGAATTCTGGATCCGTGGGAATTCCCGAAATCTGAATCAGCGGGAATTCCCGAATTCCGGATCCGCGGGAATTCCCGAATTCCGGATCCGCGGGAATTCTCTCTCCCGTCTTCCCGCAGCCCAGCCGGCCCGCGTACAAGCCGCCATCCCAGAATAACCTGCTGGCTCCCAAGCTGCAATTCCAGGTGAGGCTTCGGGAATTTGGGATGGGCGATCCCGGGAATCCGGCGGGTTTTTGGGATCGGGGGCGATCGCGCCGGGTTGCGTCGGGCGCGGAATCCCGGGATCGTTGAGGTTGGGAAAAGCTCGCGGAGACCTCGGAGTCCAAAGATTCCCACCCCGGATCCGCCCGAAATATCCCGAAAAAACCCCAAAATATCCCAAAATATCCCCAAAAAATCAAAAATGTCACAAAATATCCCAAGAAAACCCCCCAAATCCTAAAATATCCCAAAATATCCCAAAATATCCCAAAATATTCCAAAATAACCCAAGATATCCTGAAATATTCCAAAATATCCCAAAATATCCCAAAATATTTAAAAAAACCCCTAACATATTCCAAAATATCCCAAAATATCCCAAAATATCCCAAAATATTTAAAAAATAACCCAAAACATTTTTTAAAAATCCCTAAATGTTCCAAAATAACCCTAAATATCCCAAAATATCTCAAAATATCACCAAAAAAATCCCAAAATATCCCAAAATATTCCAAAATATTCCAAAATATCCCAAAATATTCAAAAGAATCCTAAAATATTCCAAAATATCCACCAATATCCCGAAATATTCCAAAATATTCAAAATATCCCGAAATATCCCAAAATATTCCAAAATAACCCAAAATATCACCAAAAAAATCACAAAACATCCCAAAATATTGCAAAATATCCCAAAAAATTAAAAATATCCCAAAATATCCAAAAAAAATCCTAAAATATCCCAAAAAATCCGAAGCCCACTTTGAGGCCGATCCCCATCCCGATCCGCGCCGGCTCCCGGTGCAATTCCCACTGTGCGGAGACCAGAATATCCAAAAATATCCCAAAAAAATGGCAAAAAATCCCTAAAAAATCCCCCAAAATATCCCAAAAATCCTCCAAAAATCCCCAAAAAATCCCAAAAAATCCCCAAAAAATCCCCCCAAAAAAATCCCAAAAATATCCCAAAAATATCCCAAAAAATCCCAATATATCCCAAAAAATCCACAAAAATCCCAAAAAA